AAATTGTACAAGTGTTCAGACATTCATCAATTTATCTGGGGTTTTCCAGTCGTGACTTACTGTACGATGTTGAGGATTTTAGGATCATCTTCTAATTAAGCCATGTCACAAAGATGATTTCGGTAAAATGTTTGGTATACTTTGTGAGAAAATGAGTAGTAATGGAAGCATTTAAGTAAGATGATGATGCTTCTTAAAATGTTTTGAGATCCAAATATATCTTTCGTATAAAAATTTTTCTGTTTTTATGTTGGCCCGAACTATTTGAGATAGAAAATGGGATTACAGTCTTCATGTTCTTATGCGGTCGCTCAGGATCCATATTCATAGCTAATAATGATTTCAATTGCGATTATTCATATATATTACATTGGTGCCAACTATGTTGTTGATGTTGCCGATCAAGATAAATTTAGTATCTCCAAAAGTGAACTCCATGATCTGTTGAGCAAGCCATCACTAAGTGGCATCCCTTTGCTGGTTTTGGGTAATAAAATCGACAAGCCTTCAACAGTGTCCAAACAAGCATTGACTGATCAAATGTTAGTTTCCTCTCATTAGAAATAAATTTGCTTACCAAAAAATGATGCAATTTTCTCAATTTTTACTCGAGTTAAGATTAACTTCATATTTGCCGACTTTCAGGGGTTTGAAGTCGATCACTGATACGGAGGTATGCTGCTTTATGATCTCATGCAAGAACTCGACCAACATTGACCAGGTAATCGACTGGCTGGTCAAGCATTCTAAGTCGAAAAGTTAAGTACAAAACGTGCCACTGTTTTCTGCAGCAATAACGAGCTTTTTATTTATTTATTTATTTATTTGTTGTTATTATTATTATTATTATTTTGAAGGGAGAAGTGAATATTTCAAGTTTCTTGTTGTAAGTGACCAGATTGAATATTCTTCTTTTCTGGCCACAATTGGTTAGCTGCTTCTTTGAGGGTGTCTTCTGTATTATATATCAACCCACATTTTGTTTTCTAATTACAACCTTTGGTGTTCTTGAAGAGGGTTTTCCTTTGTATTTGATGGTCGTTGATTTAGTTTCCTTCATGTGATTTCATCCATGTCCTGTTCTTTTTCTTGTTGGTGCAAATTTTTTCTGAAAAATCCATCCGAACAAAAATACGCTGTTCGAAGTTTTCAAGAGGATTCAAGGCTTTGTTGACTTATATTATGAAAAAGATCTTAAAGAAATTCATAGGAGATGTCTGTAGAAAGAGTGAACGATCCCAAATTCCTCTCGATTGATATAAGATTTTAGTTTGATGGTGTTCTGACTTTAATGTTAAATATGAAAAGATTTCGTTATTATAAATAATTTTTCCATCATGTCAATTAAAATAATATTAATATCTTCTAAGCTTCATGTATATTATATATCCAAAGGCCAGGATTTGGTTAGCAGTCATTAAAATTCTTGCGTGAGACGTCCTAGTCGTTAGGTCGGTCGACGCGTCATACTCAATGATAAAAAATAAATACTTATACTATTAAAATTTCATACTTCTTATTTTTCAGTTTATATTTTTCTTTTAATGTATGACATTTTCGAATGAAAGTATGTGTATTCATATAATATGTGTCTAATGGTTAGGCAAATTAATTGATGACCCACTGAGCCGAAATGACTGTTAATATTTTTTTTCATAAGGCTATGTTTGGTAAATCTAGCTGATAAGTCAACAACAAAAACAACAAAAGAGAAACACAAAATAAATCAAATTATGACTAAAACAGCACAAAAACATGTATTAATAAAATAGTACAAAGTCACTCTTTCTACCTTCTTCAACACACCGTTGCTAATGCCACCACAAGTCGTTGAGCCTAAGAAAAATATCTAACAAGCACTCAACAATTAGCTAGAACGGACACAAACATGCACATTGACCATTTACCACCAACAAGAAACGAGCTACATATTAAATTCATTTATAGATATGAGAACTCTGAAACTTCAAATGCTAACGGCTAGAAAAGTTCGAGAAAATCAAACTAAGTCTGAGCCGAAACCCAAAGGAAAAGGGTAAAGAGGACTGACTGTTTGTCCCATTTTTATTGCGTTTTTCGTACTTATTTTATCTTTCTTTTTCCCCCGTTTAGGTCTTTTCGATGGTTTTTATTCGTTTTTTTATTTTATTGTGCGTCTTGTTCTATTTTGGTTTTATTTGTGTTTTCCGTATATTTTTTCGGTTTTCTTTCATTTTTGGTGTGCAGGTTGAAAGCCTCGGTAGGATTGGATTTTAGGCAAAAATTGGTCGTGCAAGCATAATAAAATAGAAGAGTCCGTTGGCTACAAGCAAGAAAAAGCAAAATCAAATTCTGAGTTCAAACGAGCGCATACGAGCCCGAGACGTAGAGCCGTGCAAGCTGTCCAAGAAATGCGCCCAGGCCCACGCCGCGCCGAACCCCGCGCCGCGGCAGCAAGTCCTCCGCGTCGTCCACACACCACGACACCAACAGAGGGTGATATCCCAACGCCGTGCCGAGCCGTGCCGTGCCATCTTCTTGCACCGTGAAGGGAGGCCCTGCCGTGCCGCGCTATGGTGCCACGCCGTGCTGCCCGTTCCTGCTGCGTCGCGAGACCCCTGCACCACATGTCCTGCCACTCCGTGAGACCCCTGCGCCGCGAGACCCTCCTCCTCCGCCCGCGGTGCCCTGCCGCGCCACAGCACCTCCCGCTCTCGCACCGTAATCGGGTTCCTCATGGCACCTATTTCATATAAATACACGTAACGGGACTCGACAGAAATTATTCTCCCCTTCTGGGGACGAACCCTAGCGAGAAAAGAACACAAAATCTCTCCATCTCCTCCTTTCTTTCTTCTTCATTTTTCTTCTTCTTTTAATCTTTCCTCTCCATTTTTCTTCTTCTTCTTCGGATTAAGCTTGTATCTCAAATTCAACATTCGAACTTGGATTGAAATAATTGTAAGCTTTTCTCTCTTGTTTAATTCATGAATAATGATTAAATTTAGAGAATTGATTTATTGTGTTAAATTTATGTTACATAGTTGATTCTTATTGCTAGGGATAGGAGAATGATTGATCTTGTTTGAATTTCATTTGTCGGGCTTGATTTGTTTGTTCTTGTGCGAGTTAGTTTGATTAGGGATTGATGTAATCTTGCTTGATTGATTGATATAATCGAAAAGTGACATTTCGATCTTGCTATTGGTGACAATGGGATGTTAATTTGTCGAGTTAGGGTTTGTCGATTCTATGTGATTAGTTGATTAAACTTCTTCTAATTGAAGTAGCGATTTTTAGACCCGAAAGGGGAGAAGTCGTAGACCTAGGCTTGCATGAGGCAGACGATGTCGTAACTGATTAGTCTATGGGTTTTGGGTTGAAATACGTGCTTTTCGATGACCCGTCCCTTATTACGAAAAGTTATTGGGATTGGGATAATTGGCCTGTTTCATATGCTCGAGCTTGTTCGTCTATGTTCAATCCTTTGTTACGAAAAGTTATTGGGAGCGACTACTAGATGTTTAAGCGAGAGCATCAATCTAGAATAGAATGATTCATGTCCCGATATGTGAGTAGAACTTGAATTAATTGTCCCCGATTCCCTAACTTCTCCATCTTTGTTTTGTTTTTATCTTTAGGTAGATTATTATTTTTATGCTATATCTTAGTTGGTAATTAATCTCTTCTCTATTTGATTAGAATGTTTAGGATTTATTTTGATTTTATGTGCTATCAATATCAAAGCTAAATTCCGAACTGCCTTCCTCGTGAGATCGACCCGGGGAACGAATCTTTCGATTCGGTACTCGGTAAAAATAAAAATGTGTGCTACTACACTGACACCCACAATGTATGGCCTCAAATGACTGTCGTAGAAGGATGTTAGTCTGGATCTATGACTCGAGAGGTGAGATGGACAAGGGGTGATAGTGAGAAAGAGAGGTCGTCGACGGGAGCTCACTCCTTTTTTGAAGTGAGAAAAACGGATCATGGTGGCGCAGGCCGATAGGAATTGGGCCTAGAAGACATGCGAGCTTTAGAGGAAGGGTGTTGGTGGACCATTTTTTCTACTGTTTCAAGCTTTTTTTTGTCATCAATTTTGAAACATCACAATAGGGACAATACAACTTAAAAGTTTTATTCATAGTTGCCTGACAATCGATCAATTGGATTACTCGAGGTCACTATTGGTTTGGTCCTCTTCTCAAAATCTATTCAAAAATTCCAACGAAAACATTGATTGCATATAAGATTATTTTGAAAAAAAAAATATAATAATAATTGATTGAATAAAGTGAGTTACAGAAGAGTAAATTTAATATAGTGAAAAATTGATTAATTTTGAGTTCATAAATGGATAAGAGATAAAATCCAATGACTAATAATAATGAATAGTAATGGATATGAGATAAAATGCAATGACTAATAAAATGCAATGACTAATTGGTAGTTAAAAATGTATAGTAGATGAATAATGACTTTTATTGCAAAATGTATAGGAATGATTGATTTATATATATTTTTTTAATTATGTTGATAAAATTGATGAGAAAGAAATTGAGAATAAATGAATAGTAATTATTTAAAAAGAATCTTATATCCCAACACGCGTTTCTTGAAAAAAAATAAAATCGAACCATATAAAATTTATAACCAATTGTGTAAATTTCATAAACTTTGTTCAATTAAATAATTTTTGAAATAAAATAAATAATTTGAATTTTGGTGAATTAACCAAATACTATAAATTAATTTGAACAATAAAGATTTGGGTGGGCATAATGTTTTAGTCATAAAATTGTCTCATCTTTTTAATTTTTAGACAATAAATTAAAAAAAAAAATGCATATTTTGAATTTTTGATAAATGAATTTTCCAAAATAAAAATTGAAGAAATATGTTAAAAATGTGCAAACTCTATTCACTTCACCATCTTTCCCTTCTCGCATCGACCTTCCCTACCACAAAACCCTAAACCCACTCTGAAAAAAACCCCAAGATTTTGCCCCTTCCTAACTATGTCCTCTTTAATTTCCAAAATACCTTCCAAGTCCCTCGCCCGGACGCTCCTCCGCCGGACCCTCTGCACCGCGACGGAGACACGTACCCAGAAGCTCGAGCGCATCGCCGACGAACTCCTGGACTTGAACAAGTTCGAGCGCCACGATTACGTCGTCCTGCTCCGCTACAAGATGGGCTTCAATCGCTACGGACCGGCGGCCACCGCGCCCGGTGCACAATCTGCGTCGTCAGCCGGCGCAGGCTCGTCGGCCGCCCCCGCGGCTGCCAAGGAGAAAACGGCGTTCGACGTGAAACTGGAGAAATTCGAGTCCTCGGCCAAGCTTAAGGTGATCAAGGAGATCAGGTCCTTCACGGATTTGGGGCTGAAGGAGGCTAAGGATCTGGTGGAGAAGACGCCGGCGGTGGTGAAGAAGGGGGTCACCAAGGAGGAGGCCGAGAAGATCGTCGAGAAGCTAAAGGGAGTCGGGGCCACGGTTGTGTTAGAATGAAATAATATTTGATCGAATATTTTCAGTTCATTAGCTGCATTTGGTTGGCGAGGAGAACTGAAAAACTGGCTTAGTTGATTTCTGGGTCGTTCTTTGTCGATTTAGTTTTCGAAGGAATAGCATTTGAATCGTTTGGATAGAAAAAAAAATAATGATAAAAGATGAATCTTGGATTTGTACCATATAACCAGATCAATGCATTGTTGAGTGAAAGTGATTCCGACATTCAAGCCGCTGGTTTGACGACACTTTCCGTATTGTGTTTTCGTTTAGATCAGCTATTATGAAAATGGTAATGAATTTACCATTCTCCAGTTTGTTTATGAGATTGTTCATTTTTGTTTTATGTACTTTTTGATCCCATTTTCTGTCCTATCATGTTAAGACTTGTAGAATGACTAGAGAGAGTTCAACAGATATATGATATAGACCAGCTCTCAGTAGAATAAAAAGAAGAACAAGCAAGGGACTGTAATCCCTTTTCTTTTCTATTGTTCTTTGTTTCGTTCACATCTTATGATTATGCGGAATATGGTCGACATTGTTAAGTTGTTGCCCGAGTCAAAAGCAAAAGGTGAATATGTGATTGAACCATCTATGTTTCCACTCCAGCTATGTATCTGATTTGAGTCGGTCTTACTGCTGTTTACTTTATGGTTTTTCTTGAATTTGTGTGATTTATGGTTGATTGAATGAGCTTGCTTAGCCTTTTGGTGTGTTATCGAGCGATGATGATGTAAGGTACCCGATGTAAGGAACCCAACCCGAAGTGGTCGTTGGTACGTTTGTATGCATAGCATTTCCTAGAAATTCCCCTCACGTACCGGCCTCCCTGACATGGAGTAGAAGTTCAATTGTTTTCCTAGAAGAGACTACAATTATACAGATTTTTAAAGTAAGGTTTATATCTGCCATTTCTCTATTAAGAGTTGATGATAAATGCATTATGGTGCCGATTTATCTCGTTGCATTCGGACAGGATGATACAGCAATAAATGGCCCAAAACGAAGGAAGAAAGTATCATCACCAAGGTGCAACATCTTTTAGGGCAACCCATGAGTTGGATTGAACAAGAGAAATTGGGATGAACTTGTTATTTGACTTATATGTGCTTCTCTCATTACATATTTAAATTCCTTTCTTTTTTTCCATCAAGAGCAAAGTTTGTATACTCAATTATGAGAAAAATCAAAGCAAATCCAAGCAGTGCTTCAAAACACTGAACAACAGATCATTGAGGGACAACCACCTTTGGACTCTTCATAAATCATAAGAATGATCTAACAACACGGTGACTGAGAGATCAACTTCCTTCCAACGGGTAAAGCATCCCGATGATAAAAGATTCCGACTTTTGTCAGAATTCTCAAACCTAACATTCTGTAACTTTATTTACATCATATTTTTCATGCAAGCAAAATAGGAGCCAGGTACTACAGCCTTCAGAAAACGCACCGCCACATTAAGGGGGCGCAACCAGTAGTTACACGCCCACCAGCTATTTTCTGCACATAAATCGGAAACGTAAAGGTATCAGAGACAAAGAACTTATCAAAACAAGCAAAATTGCTTATTTCACAAGCCAGATACTCAACAAGAAACAAGGGGCACGAAATGATCATATTTTTACAAGGGGACTCGCTACACATTTAAAAAATCTCAAGGATGTCAATCCCTATCCATTTTTCCTTTCAATTTCGAGGGACAGAGCCTGAGAGAGTAACTCAGGCAAAATACCAGGGATCTTGCAAACGTGTGATTGGATAAGCGATGAAAAATATATAATGATAATTTGCAGCTACATTATTTGTAAAGTAAAAAGTAGAGTAGCATGATGCAATTTTCTTTCCTTTTTTTTCTCGAGTAAAATTCTCTTTGGATATATTTCTCATTCATGCTAAAAGCGAACCACGTGAGTGATACACAAATTCATAGGAGCTCAAGTTTAAAGGATCGAAATTCACCAGGCATCATCACCAGACACGGAGGGTCTGGAAATTCAATGCCTTCTGGGCAGCTTCCGCAAAGCACTGAGCAGCTTCGGCCTCAGCCTCGGCCTCCTCTGCCTCCCTTGCCGCTGCCTCGGCCTCAGCTATTGCGGCTTCAGCTTCAGCGACTGCTTTGGCGGCAGCCTCAGCAGCTTCCTCAGCACTCATGCTCTTCATTTTCTCCAGCTCAGCATCGATCATGGCTTTGGTAAGAATCACGACGTCATTCCTGGCTGCTTTTGGGGAATCCCTTGCAACTCCATCTTCTACTGGCTGTGATTGTTTTCCAACGCAAAAAGTTACAGACTTTGGGGCAATCCTGTATTGATTCTTCACCTGCCGGTCCAAAGGGCATAATTTAATTATTAACATTGATACTAGAAAGTAGAAGGTTGCCGAGGCTTCGGTTTTGGGCAATCCTATTTTACTAATTCTGGAACATAGTTTTTTTTTTTTTCTTAAAACAAATACACCGGAGCCTTGATGTTTTTTTCGTAATTACCCTCAATAACTGTACCGTGCAAACTTTACAGCATTTAATTTTGTAAAATAAGAAACTCAAGAAGAGACAGATATGTTGACCAATTAAAACACTAACGGCTTACATTGAGCTGCTGATCTAGCACCTACACTTTCCTATTTAGTTGAGAGAACTTGAGATCATAATTATATGACTGAATGAAAGCCTCTAGCAAAAGTAGTATCATTTCCATAAAATACGTCCTTACTATAATTTTATTTTATTTATTATGATTCCCCACTGAACTCCATAAAATATAAACTCGCAAAGGAATTAGAGAGATGTTAGGTAAATACTCAAGAGGATTGAAGAAGCAGAAGCCAAATGTTGTTGCTAATGGAATACCTTAATTACTCGTCCATTTTCTGTCAAAGTCCTCAAATTTGCAGCCACGGTCCTCTCAATATCTTGTGGTGCCGAGTAGTGGTCCTACATATAACCATAGATGGATTAAAAAAAAAAATGAGAATCTTGGGGTGAGATTCAAGGTACTATAAAAAATTATATGAGAGTCACGGCCGAAAAGAGTGACAAGCAGCCCTGATATTTCCAGGAATTGTATGAAGTGTAAAGAAAAACAAATAGATTCGAAAGAATTCAACACTTTATAGTTGATACACCAATTTCTTTCACAATTTCAAAAGAAAAAAAGAAAAAGAGAAATATTTTTCATAGTAAAGCTGTTCTTGTACTTAATCATTAAACATAGAGAAAATTAATTACCACTATGTACTGTGAAATTGCAGGCCGACTTGACCCACGAGGTTCCTTCAACTTTGTTATAGCCTCCAGGATAACATCCTCCAACCTACAATTTATGCCAGAGGAATCAAAAATCTTTTCAAAATTAGAGAAAAACATTGCTCATAACTTCTGGAGGATTAGCTTGGTGATTCCAACATATAGAACAAAATTAACTTGTCCAGATTAAGAGTATTATTTTGCATGCGGCTAAGTATCGTGCTTAGATTGACTGAAGACCACAAAGGAAACACTATAGCTCGAGCATATAAACAAACTAAACGCCCCTACCCAAGCATATAGAAGGAAGAGACTCGGTGAAAACATGCAATATGCGGTAAAATAAATATAACTGAGTAAATTTACATTTTAGATATTTCAACCTTGAGATGGGTTTCTTGGAATCTGCACCCTGAGATATTTCGCCAGATGCTGCTCGGGAAGTTCCTTCAAGAACTTCAGATTCCTTCTCAACAATCATGTTACGACCTGCAGTGTTTTCATCTTGCTTGATGGTAAGCTGATTGCTTTTATTGGTAAACCTAGATTTTTGCCGAGATCCCAAGACCATGCAATTCAAATTTCTATACTTGTCCTATCCAATAGAAGAAAATCAAATCAGCTCAATCAAAACAAGAAGAAAAAAAAAATATGTAACATCAATAATTACGGGTATACCCTAAGTACCGATTCTGCCAAAGCAAAGCAGATCAAAGGAAAATAACTAATACTTAATACCTTGAGGTCCACATTGGAACGTGCTCTCAAAACCGTGCTGAATTCTGGATCTTTAAGTATGGTACTCCACTTTCCTATTCCATATCTGCGAATGCCAGCTTTAAGAGCAGCTTCTTCTTCTGCTGTCCACTTCTGTTTAGGTGCACCCATTGTACAGATCAAAATCTTGAACAATGACCTATTGAGTGATGCACACTAATTTTACGTCAGGAAACACGCAGAAAACAATAAGAAAAAACAATCAATAGAATCTAGGTAAATATGAACAACATTAGTTACGACTGCTAGAACTACATAGAAAAAACTGAAGAAAATAAATTTTATCAAACAGTGAACTATCTAATGAATTATATCGACTTCGAACTTGATGACTAAAACATCGAGACAAGTCTGTTTATAAGACGATGCGAAGAAGATCTGAAATGGTATCTTGATTACTTAACTCATCAATGATCCATGATACCTAAAAATGTTACGTTGTGAATTATATATACAGCATAAATGACTTGTGAATCACTGCACAAAAATGGCAAAAAACACCAAAAGGCAATGATTTCTTGTAACTTCTGTTAATAATTATCCTGAAACACCTTTCACATGTTAAATCTGCAATTCGAACTTGAACAAGAAACAGGAAATTGTTCACAGCAAAAACTGAGAACAATTTGGGTCAAGGGCTACGTTGAATTAGGATTAGGATAATTCTCAAAAGGACAACAGTATAGGCCATGATCAATAAGTGTCACAATCTGGTTTCAAAAAAGCACAAGTTTTACGAGGAATATTGCAGCTTGTCAGAAGTAATGTGAATGAAAAACCTACCCTTCCGCAAACTAGTTTCACTAATATGATCCACAAACAGGATATACGCCAAAGTGTCCGTGCACAAGACAACTTATTACTTAATTAATTATCAATGAAGTAAGAGCAACAAATTCACATACTCAAGATGAGGCCACAAACAGTCAATAATTTAGGAAACTCAGACGGTAATGGTTTTATAAGTCCAAATATAAAGGAACATATTTTCTTAGATAAAAATTGAAATGCAAAACAATGTGAATCACTACAATCCTTCACTCACAACTTCAGACTCTCAAGGATCTCTCAGGATGAAAACATAAATTAACTCACATATCCTGCATTTATGTCACACACACACACACACACACACACACACACACACACACAGACAGAGACTGTTCCGAGGCAATTTAGGCATTCCTGGGCAAAAAAAATCTGTTGTTTTCTCCTCATCTTAGTCAACTGCATCATCACTTTGAACACCCCTAAATCAGATCCCAAGCACATCACAGACTGATAAAAAAAAGGGTCGTAAATGCAATAAAAATCGTCACTCTAAGAGGGGAATGCTAATTCGTGAAGAGAGCGAACAAAAGAGCATACTTTGCTAAGAGCTTACAATCAGTGGCCAAGCCACACCATGATTCATGGCTAGACAACAAAAAGGAGCACAAAAGAAACGCAGAATTGCAGGGTGATTACCAGTGAACCGCAGAGATGAAAAACACCTCAAGTAGTATGCTCGTCACCGTTTGAGACCTTGATTATGACGCCGCTCCATATTTTGTCCATTTTTTTTTTTTTGGTGGTGGTGTGTTGGAAGAATCAGTACTAGCAACTTCAGGTTGGGAATTGGGATCTTTGGACTAAGTTAAAATTATACAACAAGCTATACCAACTTAATATAAAAATATTGGGGAAAAAGATTTTATACTGTAATTATCTTATTTTCCTTTTTAGTACACAAAATTCTTATTTAAGCATTATTGGCAATAGTTTTTAAACCCGGGCAGGTTTTTGGGTCATCGAGTCACCGGTTCAACCGCTGGGTTACCCGATAGATGAGAGGGAAGGTCGATTTGGCTCGAATCCTGGACCTGATCTTTAATCCTACACCGGTTAATGACGCGATAGCAGAAGTTTTTTTTATTATTTTATTCATTTTATTTTTACATCAATGCTGGCCCAGTCGAGGCTCGTCCATGTCCAATCCCAATGGAAAAACCTTTGATCCGCCCTTAGCTCTATAATCCACCCGTCTTCCCCAGTCCCTGAGAGCCCTCCTCCCCTTGGCAATTGTTGAACCGGATAATAATTTTAGAATTTCTAAAATTATATATACTAGTACAACACCCGTGTATTACACGGGTGTTTGCTAATTTTTTTCTTAAAATCTAAAATTAATGATAAAAAATAGTTTGAAAATTTAAATACCTTTTATGAGAATATATATATTATTATATATTTATTATGACACTTTTTATTTGTGCGACTTACCTGTGTTATATTATACTAATTTTTTTAATTACAATATATAACTACATTAATTATAAATATATCAATTGAGAAATAATTTTATTTTTCTAATGAATTTTAATAAATATTATTATTTATTATTATTATAAAGATAAATATAATTTATTTATTTCATATATACAATATGGATGTCAAATCGAAGATTATCAAAAGATGATTAATTTGATATATTATATATGTAAAACCGATAAGAAATACAAAAGTTATCAACTTTTAAAATACATTTATAATTCAATAGTTTATTGAAGGAAACAAATCAAAATTCAGGGATATTTTAGTCACTTAGTGCCTCACTATATAAAATTACAAAAAATTAAAGGGTTATATTAGTACAAGTGATATTAAAATACCTAGGTTAGCTAAATAATATTTATGGAATACCCGAACCTAGATTATTAATTATTAATATATCAATATTATTTTTCCAAACCTAATTACGAAGCATGATTCTTCGCCAAGTAGGATTCCGAAGCACCAGAAGCAGCCACGTAGGTTCAACGCATTCGGGAATTATATATAGGGAGGATTTGACATATTAATATACACAAAAGTAACAAAAATAAATATTTTGTATATAAAATTTGTACAGCAAAGTGTTAAAAGAATTGTATCTCACAATAAATATTTACTATATCAATATATTTACATAGTTTTTATTTTTGTACGTAAAAAATATTTAAAAACAAACAAAAAAATATATATAGGGATCGAGTCAACCGAGTTGACCCGACCGGGTCAATGACCTGGGTCGACTGGGTCTTGGCCGGGTTTTGACCAGGATTGACCGGGCCCATTGTTACCCGGTCCAAATAGGCTACCCGGGCTGGTTTCAGCTTCGGGTCGGCCGGGTCAGTGGTCGACCCGCGAGGCCAGTCCAGGTTGAAAACAATGATTATTGGTACTCAAAAATTAATTTTTGTTCCACAACCTTCTTGTTGTTGTTGTTGTTGTTGTTGTTGTTATTATTATTATTATTATTATTATTATTATTATTATTATTATTATTATTTTGTTTAAAAGACGGAAATTTCAGAAAAATTACAAATAAATATGTAGAGAATGGTGTTTTAATTTAACGACACATATAAATTCAAGATATAAAATTTATTATATTTTTGAATATAATAAATTTATTAAGTTCAATATATATATATATATATATATATATAATTTATTAAGTCCATTAAAGAGAAACAGAGCAAGATTGAAGTATCCATTCCACTGCAAAGCATCACAGGAAATCTAGCAACTTTGTTGGCGTATTGAGGCAATTGGGATTCTCGATCGAAAATCGGGAAATTTCATTGGATTTATCAAGAAAATAATTTTCTATACATATGGAATTCATGAAAATTCAACGGTCATATCTCTTATAAAAGTCCAAAAAAAAAAAAATAATGCATATATATATAGTTTTTTTTATTTTATCATTGATTTAATAAATTTTGAAGTATCATATAATGAAATTGAATATAAGGGCGAGAATCTGGGACTCTTTGGCCGGATCCTAGGTTTGCTTGGATTCTTTCCCTTTCATGGCCTGGGAGTTCAAAAACAGGCACGTCTATGGACTCCTCGGCCACAATGTGCTGCTGAGCCCTGCTCAGAAACTCTTGATACGTGGTCGGTTTATTCTGACATAGTGACCACTTAAACATAGAATTTGGTTTTAGGTCTGCCTAAGCTGACACCTATAAGCTGACACCAACAAAGTTTCCTGGTGACAAGGCTTCTTATTTTGTACCCTATCATTAAAACGGGTAATGTAACCCTTTAATCTCTTCTTATCTCCTTGACGATGTTTGTTATAGATTTCTATGGGGATCATGCACACCTGGGACCCAATGAGAGTATAAAGAGTGGCACCATCTTTGTGCCTTGGACCCGGCGTTAACGAGAACACCCGACACCTGAGGGCGTATCCAGTCCTATGGAGATCCATCTAAGAAGTGTACAGGTCGATGTGGGAATCAAGGCCTGATGTGGGAATCAAGGCCTGAACTGCCATCATATAGTTCGATCTACGAGACTTTAATCTTGTCGGGCAAAAACTCTACCAAAATATCTTTCGATAATTGGGAGGTTGTGTCTACCACACGGCTACTTGCGAAACCTCAGGGAGGTGATAACAACCTTCCTCAATACCTCTGTCGAGCTTCGAGCTCGGCGGTCTTCTTCTTGAGGGCTACAAGCTCATTGGTGTCGCGATTTACAGATTTTGACTTGCTCATGAGGATTGTCCGCCTCATATCAAGTTCCCGATCTCAGATTTTGCTCCATTAACTTGTCCAAAGTCATTTTTGCTACACTAGCTTTTTTCTCATAAAAAATAAGATGTTATATTGCAATTTGTATCATATTTGGGACATTAATACAAAAAAAAAAATATTTTTTATGAGGAAAAAAAAATAGTGTACCAAAAATAACAATTTAGCGGACCAAAATTAAAATTTTATGTAGAAACAGCTAAAAACAGTATATCTCAAACAAAACTTATTATTATTATTATTATTATTATTATTATTATTATTATTATTATTATTATTATTATTATTATTATTATTATTATTATTATTATTATTATTATTC